ATAATATGTATATGTAACATTATATTGTATTGTATTGTATTGTATTGTATTACGTTGTGTTAGTTTTAAATTTAATTTTACATTATAGATTAAATTTAATTTATGAGATAAATTAAGTTTTATTTTCGCTGGCTTAAGATATAATTTTTGAAATAATTGTGATTATTTTCAAAATTCAATAGAAAGGCAAAAGCCCTAATCTATATATAATATAGATAAGGGGACATGCATTTGGAGAGAAAGTTAGAAAAGTCCTAATGAGAAAACACATTGAAAACCATAGATAAACCTTAGAGAAAAGTAATTCAACATTTAAGAAAATGGACAAACATTTCAAGCACCAGCATGCCATTTGAGTTAAAAGTTGTTCGTGTGAATACCAGCAGAGGGAGTATATTTACATTGTCAGCTCTTAATATCCAATTAATTAAAGACAACATGTGAGGAGCTTAGAGTTAAAAGATAATTCTTCTATCCACCTTGACTTAAATGAATTCGTTCGGTTCATATCAAGATAGAAATTTAAAATTTTAATCTTCTGTTGCGCATCCCTATCCAACACCTTTATCTCAAAGAGATCCAATTAATATTTAATTTATAAGATTAAACATTAATCATCAATTTACAATTCTAATAATCACTCTTTAAGCATAAATTTAGGTACTCACATTACCCAAATTTCTCTTTAGCATAAATAGCACTCACATTATATTTCATTGATCATATCTAACATCCATAAACTTATATGACATTAAATCTTAAACCATATTGCTCCCAAAACTCATTTAAATTTAGGGTTCGTCTAAACCCTAACTTAAAGTTCCAAATCACCATTTTATTATCAAACTTAGGTGTAGAAACTTAAATTAACTCTCTATGGTCTTAAAGAACACAATAGGTTTGGTTATAACCTAAGGAAGGATGAAATCAACACACAATTACACTCAAATCTCCTAAAATTTAAAATTGAGAGAAAGGAGAGTGGATAGGAAGCTTACCCTAAGGTGTTGCTAGGTCATAATGTCTCCCAAGTGCTTGAAATATGAAACCCTAGTAGAGAAAACATCCCTCTTTGTCACCCTTCACGTCCTCCTCTTTCTCTCCCTCTATTTTAGTCTACAGGACTATCTAATTAAATTAGATTTTTGCATATTTGCCATTGTGCATGATGCATCCGCTATAACGAATGACACAGTGAGGCCAAAATGAATTTTAGGCCTCACTTGATACTCGGTCTATTCGAACACCAATCAAGCCGACATCTAAAATTGTCCAAAGGTCCAACAAATTCATTAGTAGTCCAAAAACACTATTAACTCAAAATTTACTATTTTGCCCTTATTAACACCTTAAAGTCAAATTTTGAAATTTGAGAATATTACATTCCTCAACTATATAGCCTAATGAAAAGCTTCACGACAAGCTATATATATTTTATATCCTAAATTGAGGTAGCTATAAGTGTCCACAATATACTCTTTTTATAAGGTAGCTCCTCTTTGTATCATGAAATGCATATGATGCATCTTTTAAATCCTCATAGTCACAAATTTAAAGGAGGATTTAATTTTAACAACCAACATTGGGTGTCAGGCACCCTTTAGTGTACAAGAATTTTTTTTCCAAAGATTATTCAATAGTTTCTTATGAGGATTTCACAAGTATTTACCAAGGGATACTTAAAGCAAAATCTAGATTAAAGATTAGTGCATATTTTAGCATCCTTAGAGTCATTAATAGCAAAAGCTTACAAAATTTTTTATATGCAAAATAGTCAAAATAAACGCCAACCAACTATCAATAATAGTAATCTCATTTACGAAGGGCGTCCTTAACTAATATAGTGTTTGCAGATAATTTCAAAATTTTAACCACAAATTACATTGATAATGACATACCTATAGGGTAAAATTAATTGCCAACATAATATCTTTAAATATAATTTAAACAATACATTGTCATGGTCACACAATCACTAGGTGTAAATGACTCTTTCAATATCCTACAAAAAATTATATATAACTAATTTATTTGTAAATGCCTTAGCATATAGATGGAGCTAGAAATTCCAAGTACTCGTAATTAATCCATTCCTTTAATGAACTCATTATCAACAGTAAAACATATATACAAGATTTACAATATAAGGATTTGCATGCCCAAACTATCAAGAGCGACATAAGTCATAAGCTTATGAAGGACAATATTTTCAAGGCCTAGTCTCTTTTATTCTCTAATGTCCATTAAACTAATAGACCAAATGAGATGATAAAAGATAATTTTTTGAGTCTAACAACTCCCACTTAAATGAGCGTTAACTTCTAAAATTGTTCCAAACTTGAAGCACTCCCTCCTTAAATTAGAGGTTCTTATGAGTTACTATTAATATTACATGATCCATCAATCTTTTCCCTCCTTTACGTGAAGTAAGAAAATCCCAAGAATTCATACTTAGATTGTAGTAGTTTTATAGACCAAGAAATACTTCTAGGTCAACCCTATACAAATTCATTATATGCTCCTTTAACACCAAATGTCCCATTATAACTGAGTGCTGTCAAACATCACAAATATATTTTGACAGAAGTGTTGTCCCTCGTTCCTTTCTTCAATGGTGAATTTAATCACTATCAAATGGATCTAGTTGAACTTATACAAATATTTATGATAGACCTTGTCAGAAGTACAGGACTGTCAAGAGAGATGTTCTGGTTTGGGTTATCACAAATTCAAATAATTCTCAAAATGGCAAGGTTTATACTTAAGGACTCTCACAATGATCATAATTAGTCCCATAAAAAGCCTTAACAAAAATACTTGCCCAAAACAAAAATTGAAATTGCAAAATAAAAAATAGAAAATAATAATTATACATCCATAACATAATTATAGTATAAAATTTTTAACAAGCGAATTTTAATTATGCAACTATTATTGTGCACTAAACTCTTATACTATATAGATTTGGCTCATACAAGAATACAAACCAAAAATGAATTAAATATTCCATGTACCCATATGATATAATGAATATATCTAATACATTATATGTGCTGTATGCCTATCCTTAAAAGTTCAAACCCCAAAATTACACTAATAATAATGTTGCATCTATGAGGTATATTCGTTATTAATGCAATAATATCCAAATCATGATTAATTATAAGGCTTCTATGACTTTTATGACAAATTAAATTAATTTCATGAGTCCTTTGAGTCTATTTGGAATTAGGGATAATTTTGGGACATTACAAAATTTGTGGTTCGGGGGCAAAAAACTAGTTCTGGAAGAGATTTGGGGTACAAATATAATTCTGGAACTTTAGCCATGACCTATAACTTCCAAAACTTTCCTGGGGTCAAACCATAATTTCTGGAAATTCTGGGCCACGACGGTGAATAAAACTGGGGCCACGTCGGAATTTACTTAAACTAAAGGTTTTTATTCATTTCACCGGGCCACAGGTTCAGCCCAATCACCAGCCCCTTTTTTAATGCCAAATCAGAGCTGGGCCCAAAAACTTTCGGCCCACTCGAATAGTGCATCAGTCGGATCCCTAGAACCTGATCCGACTTCCTTGCTTGACCCGGTTTTCTGCGTCCTCAAGCAGCCGCGAACCAGAAACTGACAGGGACGACGACGCAGCGGCCATCTCTGACGACTTCACGCCGGCGATCTTGAAGTAGCCCCATTCGTTCCTTGACAAGATAGCTGCAGCCATATGCGGCGAATCAGAAGTCCTTCCAGCTAAGACAGCAGGTGTGACGCCGTGAACCAGAAAACTTCCAGCGACTGCTTGATATTCTCAAGCACTATTGACAGTGACTAGGACGATGGCAGCAACCATCGGATCTGAGCAAGGAATTTCCAGCGACAAATTCCGTCGGTCTTGAAGATAAGGCGAAGGCAACACCTTTTCGAATTAAATGCCGCAAACCAGAAGCCAAGAGGGAAGACCCTCGACAACGCGAAGACGGCAAAGCATCAAACAATTCTAGCGACAATCTCCAGCGTTTTGGAGGCTTAGTTCGCAGCGAAAAGGGAAAAAAAAAATCATGTTTAAGCATCTGGCGATTAAAAAGCAAGTGAGCAAACCATGAAATCCAAAATCTCAAAGGTTGAGTAAAACATTATTATTATTATTATTATTATTTATGTGCAGTTTTACTCATCGAAAATTGGGGTTAATAAACATACAGATGTGTTCTTGCAGAAATCTTCTTCTCCAATGAAAATATTTAATCATATAATTCAATCAATAATTACAATTATGTTTCGCACATCATTCTATCAATACGCATCAAGAAATCCACGAAAATAACAATAGAATACATATAATTCACGCCATACCATTTGATTATCATATTCATATAGAGCCAAACTCAACTAACATTCTTAAAAATTAAGATGATATACTTTAAAATTAACTTGAGAGTCATAGCCAGGCTCTAATGTTCTTGTTGAAATTAGAATCTCAATAAACTAGAATTTAGTGGGCTGTGATCTAAAAAAAATATAAGTTAATAATAAAACTTTGATTACTTTGAGTTTAGGTAAATGCACAATCCACTAAGCCTTGTGGTTCTAAAAAAATGCAGAGATAATGAAGAAAATAGAAAAAAAATATGTTGTATGTATTTGTTATTGATGAATTACATTACATGAATTACATCAATAACTATCTTAATAATTAATTTATTAATATCTTATTATCTTTGATCTAATTAGTTAAAAAACAAGGAATAACTGACTGTTATATGATTGTAGATTAAACCTTTATCCATTAAATTCACTTGTGTGATCCTCCTATTACAGTCCTTATAATATGATAAAGATCAATTTATTTTGATTTATTAACTAATGTGAATCCATAAATATTTCAACATGTCTTATTTCATGATTAAGGTTCCATCTGTTGAAAAAAGTCCGAAATTCCTGTCTGGCAATTGTTTTCCATCCATTGGTACAATAATCCTGCATTAGATGAAGCTCATCCTCCTCATTAAAACTGCACTTTTACCTTTTATTTATTACAATAATATATACTGAAGGCAAAAATACCAATATACACTAATATACTAATCCCTCCCTCATTTCTTTCTCGTAAAAGTGTCTTATGAATTAAAAATGAGTCGGGAGGAGTACTAAACTCTAAAATGCTAATATAGACCAATACACACACCACTCCGTCATCTATGTCATTTCAACAACACTTTCAGAAAGAACCTTGCTAATGAGGGGTTGGTGTGCTTTACACATGGCTTCTAAAGGAACAAGTTTTGGCATGGTAAGTCCTGATCCTTCTGTCATATCAATTTCTTCCTCACTCGCTCGTTCCCATTCAAAGCACTGAATCAATAATCCCAAAGCCAAGCTCACTGTGCGCTGTGCCAAGCCTGACCCAGGACATGCTCGCCTTCCAACTCCAAATTGAATCAACTTGTTAGCTTGCCCTTCTTTCTCAAACCTTTCAGGCTCGAAACTCAAAGGATCACTCCACAATTGAGGATCTCTGTGAATGGCCCAAGCATTAATCAACACCATGGTATCACTTGGGATGCTGTAATCTCCTACGGTGCAGTTTTCTGAGGATAGATGAGGTATCAACAATGGCGCTGCAGGATGTAGCCGAAATGTCTCAGAGACAATGTTCTGAAGATATGGTAGTTTCAAAACGTCTTGTTCATCAACCAAGCGTTCTTGCCCTATTTGTATGTCTATTTCTTGCCTTGCCTTTCTCAATATCTGTGGATGGTTCAGTAAACTAGACATTGCCCACTCTAAAGTTACAGCAGATGTGTCAGTTCCAGCAATAAGCATTACCTATGAAGTCAAACCATGTCAATTTCGAGAACAGGAAGTGTCAACCACGTACTTCCTCTCTAGAATATTTATGTCCATGATCCTTCTTTAGTTATCTTATACGCTTGTCGGAGCATTAAATATTTTTTCATGTATGCCCCGTATTGTAAACTATGACGTAAAAGTAGTAAGAAAAGTTAGAAATTAATATGATAATGCGTTCAATGTAATTAATTAAGGTAATATTAAAAAATAATATAATTTTATGACAATTTTAATATTTTAAATAGCATTCAACAGCTTTTTTTCGCAGGTTTGAATGGGTCGAAAGTGACTTATATAAGTCACTTAGCCTTTAAATAATTTATACTAAATTAGTTAATGGTATTTAAAATTATATATTGTTTTTATATTTATTTTTATTTAATAGGTTGTTATGATTAGAAAACCTTACTAATAATATCTCAACTCAATGACTTTTTTGTAAAAAAAAAAACTATATTAATTACACATTAAAAACTCAAAATTCCTAGTAATTTTTAATCTGATATTTCAAGGGAGGGAGTAACTTTTACTTTAATTTTTAAATGGGGACAAAATTTTTTAACAAGATGGAAAATTTTTAAAAAATGTCATTTAAAAGCAAGTATCATTTATCAATATTTTTTCAGTTTCACTTAATATCTTTGATTTTTTTTTCCTTACATTACATTACCAATAGTATATTCAATTGGCAAAAATCTAGGACCAGTTGTACTTAATAAAGAAGAAAAGAAAATGACTAAACGACATCACAAGGCAACCAAAAGGCAAAAAACAGTAGAACTTACGCACCAAAACGAGGCCTTTGATAATTTGATCCCTATAATACTCAGGCTGTGATTTCTGTAGAGACAAGAGGTGATTTATCAGAGTATTTCCACTTATGTTCCCATATCGATGCTCATCAACGAGCCCTTGCAAAAACGCATCGAATCTGACGCTAATACTCTTAAGCTTCTTCTCCAAATTATCCAAATCAAACCATCTAACTATCGGCAAGAAATCTCCAGGGTTATTTGCTCCTCCTAGCTTCACCAATTCCTTTATCATCTCTCTGAACTTTCTTGCCTCTTCCACGTCCCCGACTTCACTATCGTCTCCCCAATACCTCTTCCCTGATATCATTCTCATCATAGTGTTGAACGTCAGCTCAGAAAACCTTGATCTAAGCTCCACCTTCGCAAAACCCTCGCCGGAATCATGAGCCAGCTTTTGAACGAGCCGCTTCATCTCGTCCCTCCTCATGTCCATGAAATAGTTGAGACGGTGCGTCGAGAGGACGTCGAGCACCACAATGCGGCGGAGGTTGCGCCAGTAGTCGCCGTACGGGGCGAAGGCAACGGTGGTGTAGTTGTAGCCGACATGTTTGCCGGCGAGGAACCGCGGGCGGTTGGCCAGAACGATGTCGTTTCTGGTGAAGCATTCTTGAACTGCGGAGGCCGACGAGACGACGACGACCAAACGAGAGCCGAACCAGAGAGAGAAGATTCGGCCGTAGTGTTGGGAAATGCGATGAAAGTGGTGGTGAAATGGTTTCTTGAGCTGGTGAAGATTGCCGAGTATGGGAAGAGAAGGAGGGCCTGGTGGGATATTTCTGAATCTCCTGTTTTGGAGAAAGAGCTTGAGGGTGAAGAAGAAAGCAAGGCAAAGGATAGAATAATTGATAAGATCAAAATTTGTGGACATATTTTCTTTTTGTCTTCTGGATACTTTGAGGATTCATGCATGTGCTTCTCTTTAAAGAGATAAGTGGGCCAAGTGGATTAATTTTGTGCAGCTGTTCCCGGCCCAAGGTCAGATGAATTGGACTGATCACAATAGACTTGAAACTATCTATTTGAATTCTCACAGAAAAAGACGTATCACATTTAGTGTCAAACATAATTATTTTTAATAAAAAGATAAAAATAAATAATAACAAAAAATATTTAGGAAGAATTTTAAATAAAGATAAAGAATGTGATTTAGTTATTACAGGGTCTAAAAAAAAATTAAAGTTTCAGTTCAATCTAGAGAGATAAAAATAAAAATAATTTTAATAGTGAAAAGCCCAAAATACCTTCACTTATTATGCAGAATTACTATTTATTAATTCTTTTATTTTAATTATTAATTTATCAATATTACTTATAAATTACATCCATTTGTTAAACAAGTAGTAACATTAGTTATTAATTTGTTAACTTTAATTGTTAATTTACAAATATAAATTGTAAATTACAAGACTTATCAATAATTTATAACTAATATTAGTAAATTAATAAATAAAGTTAGCAATTTAATAATTGAAGTTGCCGTTTATGATTAAACAACTGATATCAAGTCTTATATAATTATTGACATGTTAACTCATGTAATTTGCAACTCATATGAGAAAATTAATAAGTGAAATAAAAATATTAACAACTAGTAATTTTGTAAAATAAGTGAACGATAATTTAATCTTTTTATATTTAAAATTATTTTTACTTTTATCCTCTCAGACTGAATTGAAGTTTTAAATATTTTTGAGATTCTCTAGTAATTAAATCATATCCTGACCCATATTTAATATTCTACCAAGCATCTATTCTTTTCTCAAACAACTTCAAAATATCTTTTTCTCCATCAAAATAACTTCAATTTTTTTTAAAAAAAATGTATCATTCTTTTACATTTAAATTCTATTGAAATATAAAAAAATTAGGTATTTTATTTTTATTATTTTGATTTAATTATAATTCAGTCCCTAAATTTTAACTTGATATAACATAATCTCTATAGTTTTGATTCATTGCAATTATATATCACTAAACTTTCAGTCATTATAATTTAGTCCCTATAGTTTAAGTAATTTAAAACATTGATGCTTGAATTTTATTTTCTAAAATAAAATTGAAGTTATTTCAAAAAATAACTTTAGTCCTTAGACTTTTATTTTCTAAAATACAAGAACTAATATTTTAAATAATTAAAATTAGATAGGGACTAAATTGTATTAAGTTAAAGTTCAATAGCTTAATTGCACCCAAGTCAAAATTATAAGAACTACTTTACAATAAGTTAATAATTAAAGACTAAGTTTTAATTATTGAATCAAACTTATAAGGATTAAATAAAAATATTAAAATGTATGTGTGTGTATGGATGGAGATATTTCTTGAATTATGAGTTGGCCCATATGGGTTAGAGAAAATATGAGTTGAGTTGGGTTTAATTCATTTTCATATGAGTGAAAAAAATTCAATCCCAATCTAGTGATTAAATAGGCTAACTTGTCAATTTGTTTATTTTTTTCAACTAATTCTTTTATAAATTTTTTAAAAAATTACACATAAATGATGAGTTTTAGTTTGATATTCCTTCATAATTCATTTTATATACACCAAAATATTAACCCTTAATGTTTATATAAAATATATGAATTGAGTCAGCTAAGTAATTCATGTTTTATATAGTTTATACCCACAAAAGTTTCCCCTTTTTCTTTTTTAATTTAAAAATAATGAGTTAAACAGGCTAATTTTAACCCATCAATGTTAACCTATATGATTCACAAGTTATATGATCTGAACTAAAAAAACCTATTTTTTATTTGGTATTTTTTTTTTCAAACCAACCTGACTCATATGACCAGTATGTTATTCGGGCCAACTCATGTTACTTGATCCGTATACTCTACTGTATATTTGGTTTTTTTTAATCTCTTTTAATCTCCCCCAACCCCCCAAGTTATTGGCTATTTAGAAAAAATAAATAATGGACGACGACCCAGACTCGGAAGAAAGACTTTTCCCGATTCATTTTAGATAGGCTCGATAAGTAGGACATAAACGGCAATGCACGGTATCGGATAAGTCAATAAATTGTTGAGTAAATGCAAAATAGACAATACTATCTCTCTCTTATTTTTTTTAGCCATAAAAATAGTTATTATATACTACCCATTTCTTTTTCTTTTTGGGCCATCCATATTGAATTTGGATTCGGTAAATAATTTAAGTTCACAAATTGAATGAGCGTCTCACATCATGTGACACGATGGCACAGTTTGATCTATATCTATCCATATCAAATGATTAAATGAATGAAGACCAAAGACTTCAGTCTATGCAAAACGATGCGTAGTACTGCCTCTTTATCGGCAATATTTAATGACCAACTTGGGTAATGATATGCTCCTTTAATGACCAACTTGACGAGGGTAGAGATTATGGAACATTGATTCAATTGTGTGTAAGGGCCTTTGTGAGGAATAAGTCAGCATCATTATCTCAACTTGGCTGAGAATGATCCACCAGCATGGGCATGGGCCACTGAGGCGATTAAACTGGTAATGCATGTAAGAGTCTCAGCCTCACCATCACAAAGTTTACAATTAGCTGCAGAAGTCACATGCTTTTTAAAGCGACCCAGTGAAAGGCTTCTTAACGCACCAACAAATTAAAGATTGATTTAAGATTTAATTAGCTCATAATTCATAAGATTATGAGTTCAAATTTCACTTTAGATGTGAGAATTTTGTTAGTGAGTAATATGCAATAACCTCTGCAAGTATTTTTTGAGTTTAGGGATATACTTTGCCCTTGATGAATCTTAATGCCTAATTTACTTAAACTTTTCGTAACCGTAAAAATAAAATGTGTGCGCATTGTAAAGAATCATAAGTGTTCTTTTCATCTTGATCTTGAAAGATATTCCATGTAAGGTATTCATGTGCTCTAATAATAATATAATATACGTATATATATATATATATGGATAATTAACCAAGAAATTAATGTAAATAATGTGGAGTGATCACCTGAAGATATGAGAGAGAAGAATTGGGCTTGATCAATGAAATGACATGGGATAGGCTTGCATACATGTAGTTGGGACAGGCATGGAATCCAAATGAAATGATGGATTTGGATCCCTCGACTTTCCCGACTACACACATCCAATACCTGTCTCCACGTGTCCTCATCACATGCCCCTCAAGACAGTCAATGGCTTTAAAGAGTTGATTCAACCTGAGTTGGTATTCACTCAATCCTCTCCAGTTTTTTTTTTTGTTGCCTATGTTGATAAGATATATCTTTGATTACCTTCCTTGTATTCTGGACCCAAAAAATAAAAGTATCTCCCTTCTTTTTGTTTTTCTCCTAAATTTTAGCTCATTTTATTATTTTCTTTTTAATGTATTTGAACTATCTACCTTTAAATTAAAAAAGTAAGGAATATAAATCCACGTTTTAGGCCCAAAAAAAAAATGCAAAGAGAAAGATTGGGTGAATGCCGGACGTGGTTGCATAAATTCTTTAAAACCAATGATTATCTTCAGAGCCGTAGACAAGGACACGTGGAGAAAGGTATTGCATGCATGTAGTTGGGACAGGCATGGAATCCAAATCCTGAAATGAAACTGCACCTTAATTTAAAATCTTAACACTCAAATTTATGAGTCATTTTATTTTATTATATATTAATTATTAAATTTGTTAACTTTATTTAAGATTAACTCAAGCCCACAGTCCACACCTTCACATTAACCATGCATTTTTGAGTTTTCTGCTACTGCTATATTTCCTGGTTAAAGTAGAAGGTTGGAATCAGCTTATATACTTAATTAACGAAATGGATATGAACACCAGAATCGTCTGGTGAAAAGGCAAAGAGATGCAAATTTATTCAAATCAAGAAGTTTATAGTATCTACATATCGTTTTTTTTTTCAACAAAAAAAAGGATGTCTTTTTATTTTTTTGGTCCGATTCTTTGAGCTCCTGACCCCACCACTTTCATTATACATATTTATATCTCTATAGTCTATGCAATTTTGATCATTCAAGCTTTTTATGCTTCTCTCTATGTGTAGTGTAATTGCGTATGTGCGTGTCTGTCTAAAAATATAATAACCTAATTCAACCAAGTCGAAATCACTGAAAGACCTGGCATCCTTTAACCTAATTTCGTTTTAGCATAGTGTTTAGAGATGACTCAACTAGACATACAACTTAATTTATTTCTCCACGTCTCATTTCTCTTTCTGACTGACTCCAGACGTTCCTAGAAATCGGCTCTAATTTGTCAACATTTTCAGGTCAACCATCAAGTCTTTCCGTGACCTAATATCAATTTGTCATTGTCTTTATATATATTCAAAAAATTATTGGCTTTACATTTTTTTTGGTAAAATATAAAAATATATTTTTACATGAAAAAGTATCTGATGTCATACAAGAATTGGGAGGTTGGCATGTAAATGAGGATTCATAAATAATTAATTTCCTTACTTGGGTCTTGAGGAACATAAATTATATCAATGTTCTTTCGACTCAATTTGAAGGAATATATGTATCTGTGAGAGATACAGTCCTTTTATGTGATGCAGAAACTGTCTTACTTCTTTCAAGAGTAGCTCTTCCTTTTGCCATTCAATCTATTATATTGGCGCGTTATTAAATATATATTTTGCATTACTGGGTGCTCGTTGCTATGTATTGTGTACTTAATGTCTAGAAGATGAGAAATCATCAATATAATATAAAAAAGTAGTTTTTTTTAATTTACAGAATATTTTTATTGTTAGGACTGATTCGTTTACTTCCACAGTATATAATTTTAAAAGAAACTTGAAAGGTATATTTTGCATATAATATCATGGTGTACCTTGTTATATATTTTAATTGCATGCTATTTTCTTCTTTGTCACAATATATATATATATATGCATTTCTTAAAATAAT